CACCAACATTGATGACATATCAGTTCATATCCACCAACACTGACCACTTATCAGTTCATGTCCATCAACATTGACCATATATCAGATCATGTCCACCCACATTGACCACATACCAGTTCATATCTATCAATATTGACCACATATCAGTTCATAAACACCAACATTGATGACATATCAGTTCATATCCACCAACATTGACCACATATCAGTTCATATTCACCAGCATTGACCACATATCAATTCATATCTGTGCAGCTGATGTCCCCTCTTCAGCTTTTGAAAAATCATTTCTAAAGTGTGTATTTAAAGTCTTCAGAATGTCTAGAATCGTATTTGAGTAAGTCAAACCAGATGTGAGAAAAAAATTGTTACCTATTCATTGATGGTTAGTGTCCATTGACACGAATCGTTTCCCCTTTTGTTGGTCTGGAAAGTTTGGACACGGCTTCCATTGAACCACTGGCCTTGGTCTTTCCTGAGGATTGGTGTCTTGTGCCATGTGTACCCTCTTCAATGCTCTGTCATTGTTGGATCCCATTCCCTCCAGAGATGAGCATCAGTGGGACAGTGTTTGATGAAGGGCCTGTCCTATCTGCTGGGGGATGCAATGAGGACTGAGTTTAGGGTCTTGGGCATCTGTCCATGGGGCAGGTCTAGGACAGCAAAGATGGCTGCCATCCTCAAGCCTGTGTGTGCTAGACTAACCAAGCATTGCCTGTCACCCTTGTTTCTGTGAGCTCTCCAACATACTGATTCTAAAAGGCTGAGTGGACTTTGCTTTACTTCAGTCCAACATGAATCCCCCCCTTTCACTGTGGGAGGGCCTTCTTGTTCTCACAGATTTCCACTTGGTTGTTTCCACCCCCAACTGTCAGGCTTCTTGTTTCTTGAGGTGACTCCCCTGTGTTCTGACCTCTTCTCATGCTGTCCCTTTCTTTCCCCCTGCCCAGGATGTCATCCCTCAGCCACTGCTTGACCAGTACGTGTCGATGACTGACCCAGCTCGCGCCCAGACTGTGGACACTGACATAGCCAAGCACTGTGCGTACAGCCTGCCAGGGGTGGCACTCACTCTGGGCCGGCAAAACTGGCACTGCCTGAAGGACACCTACGAAACACTGGCTTCCGACGTGCAGGTACAGCAGCCTGTGGGTGGCACACCTGGGAGTGGGCGGGCCCTCCCGCTGGGGAGGAGAGGGAAGTATCCCTGGCTCCCCACCCTGCGCTCCCTCTGGCACCTTACCCAGCCTCGTGTGGCCGCCACCTGCCAGGATCAGTTCAGGTCCGGGAGTCCATTTGCACGGACCTCGGTGTGGTTCCTGTGCTCATCTGTCTGTCTGTCTGTCTACGCCGACAGTGGAAGGTGCGTCGGACACTCGCCTTCTCCATTCACGAGCTAGCTGTGATTCTTGGGGACCAGCTAACGGCAGCCGACTTGGTGCCTGTCTTCAACGGATTCTTGAAGGACCTGGATGAAGTGCGCGTCGGGGTCCTTAAACACCTGTACGATTTTCTGAAGGTGCGCGGCTCTCCTCGCCCACATTCTCAAAGCCCCAGATGTGCGAGGTGGGAATGAAGGAGACGTGCAGGCTTCTTGAGTGAAACCTGCCTCCCGGATTGCAGACTCTGCCCCTGCCTCCAGTGAGGGGTATCTGCCTGTCTTTCCTCCTGGTCTTCCTGCCTTTTAGTTCTATTCTGGGGAGGACACCAGACATACAACCATGTGTGCTCTGGGAACAAGGGGACAGTGAGGCCCAGAGGTCTCCCAGGGAGCAGCTGGCTGGAATCCAATCTCAGTTCTATGTGAAAGGTTTTTCTGCAAGACCCTGCTGCGTCTCTTTGGCCTTTTTTCTTGGTCCCTTTCAAAGGAATGATGAGTTAAAAACAAAAACTTCAAAGGGACCTGGAGAAGCTGCTTGGTCACAGAGGGACTCAGGTGTGTGGCTGTGCTGGCCCGGGCTCTGTCCCCAGTGCAGGGAGTGACGCCCACACTGCCAGTCTGGGAAGCAGCCGCCCCCAGTGACACAGGAGTTTTTGAGCATACATGTGTTTGTCTCACGGAGGTAGGAGAGGAGGAGAGGAGGGGCCCCGAGGCATTAGAAATACACAGCACACATGCTAGTCAGGAGGGAGGTCGGGTACGTTCAGGTAACAGCCATGCTGACGCTGGTGGTAGACTGCGGGCTCCTAGGACATGCGGAGGCCTGCCGGTGACTTCTGACTGCGTGTGAGCAGATGTATGGTAACAGCGGGTGTGGCGGTGCCTGGAGGATGGGTGCAGGACTTGTTCACACACCTATTTTTCAACAGTTGCTTCATGCAGATAAGAGGAGAGAATATCTCTATCAGCTTCAGGAATTTGTGGTGACAGATAACAGCAGGAATTGGAGGTTTCGATATGAACTAGCAGAGTAAGTAAAACCTGTTTGGGGTCCCTCTGCCACTGCCATCGAGTTGATTCTGACCCTGTAGGACAGAGTGGAACTGCCCCCAGAGGGTTTCCAAGGCGTCAACCTTTAGGGAAGCAGACTGCCTTATCTTTCTCCCATGGAGCGGCTGGTGGGTTCAAACCTCTGACCCTTTGGTTAGCAGCCAGATGCTTTAACCATCACATCACCAGAGCTCCTCTGTTTGGGGGACAGGAGAAAGCAAATTAGACCAGATAACTTCTTCTTTCCCTCCCTAGTCATTGATGCCCAATGAGCAGTAGTAGTCTTTCTGGATAAGGAGCCTATGCTTTTATTACAGGATAAACTGAATTCCAGAGCTCCAGGTTACAAATGCCACAGTCTCTGGGGAGACTCATTTTCCGACTACAATAGGGCTGGTCCCTTTTGAATCGGGGTGCCCTGTTCTTCTAGAAGGCAGTTTATTGAAACCAAGTGAGCGATGAATCACTGCTTGTCAGTGTTTTCCTATCAGTCGGAGCAGATTTTGCCCAAGCTTTCCTGAACATTCTGAATGCAGTCCTCTCTGAAAGGTACAGCGTGGTTACGGACTTTAGCTCCGAAGGAAAATCACACAGTCATGAGCAAAATGAGACGGTCCAAGCCAGCTCAGACGGTTACTCAATAACAGTGTCCCCACGGTGGCTCATGTCTGTGCGTGGTGTGTGGAGTGACTCAGTTCCATGTTGTGCCCGCAGAAAGGGTGGCGAAGCTGTTGCTGCTTCGAGGAGAACGGGGCATAGCTGAGACCCTGGCCCAGGGCTCATGGGCACGTGTGGCAGTGCTTCAGGCCCTGGGGGGTTGGTTCATTCTCTGCGCCTGGAGATTTGTTCGGGTCTCTTTCCAGTGCCCGTTTTTCTCTTCCAGCTGCTGGCTGGAAGCCCTGCAGAGGGTCATGGCCCCTGCAGAGATTCTTCAGGCTTTTGGTGCAGCTCTCAGGGTGCGATTTGGCCCATGCTAGGGGCAAACACAGACATGTCCTCTTTGTGGTGATCCTTAATCATTCTGCTTAATCTGAGAGGCTGAGGTTGTAGTCATTATGCTATGTTCCCAGCTCAGGGTTCTTCTAGAAGAACAGAGAAAAACAGGCCCACGTTTTCCACGAAAGCACTGCTCCCTCTAGCGGCGGCGTGCGGGAGCGCGGGCGGGTCGCCTGCTTGGCTGGCTGCGTGCTCCTGGGACTGTGCCCCTGGCGGCGTGTCTACCTCCAGTCTCTGCTGTGCTTGTTGAAGCCAGAGCTGCTGATAGCAATCTGGCCCCCGGGCCCAGACGCCTGGTGGCATTGTTTGGGAAACCAGTGCCTTTTGCTGTGTGAGGATGCCCTGGCGTCGGCTCTGCCTCCTTGCCAACGGCCTTTTCATTTCCTCTCCTCGCCTGTGTGGAGGTGGTGCCATTCAGGTCCGTGCCCTCCCCAGCGCAGGCGGCCTCAGCCCGCGCTCTCGGCATTTCTGGCTTGGAGTCCGGGGCCGCTGGGTCCCTTGCTCGAGTGGACCTGGGCCCGTGGGAAAAGCTCGGTGGCCGCAAGCGGGTGCACAGACCTGGCGCGGCTGCAGGACAAGGACGCCGAGGGGCCTGCGTCCCAGCTTTTGGGTCCCCCGCCCAGCCAGCTCTGGAACGTCAGCCTCCTGTCTGTTTAACTTGTCTGATCCTGCCAAGTTTTACGTGCTTTCCAGTTGATAACCAAGGTTGAAATACGAGGTCTGTCTTGGTAAATTTCTCAGCCTCTGGTTTCCAAAATTTAACTTCCTTTGGTTTGATCTGATTTGTATTGGTTTTGCTTTCACGGAGTTCCTGACCTCGTGTTCCTGCTGGCAGCCTCCCTGGGTCCTCACTGCCCCCCACCCCAGGCCGGCTCTTTTCATCTGTGACACGAAACGAGAGGAAAGAAATTCGTAGGTGCTTTTTCTGTTTGGCTCCAAGAGTGCTTTCCGTTCCCGTCACAGACAGCTGATCCTGCTCCTGGAGCTGTACAACCCGGCAGACGTGTCGGAGCACCTGAGCCACGTGGCCTTCAGGCTGTGCGCGGACAAGGTGTCGGAAGTGCGCTGGATCTCCTTCAAGCTAGTAAGGCGCAGGCTCGCCGCGCGGCTCGGGAACTCCAGAGGCCCACGCACCTTCCCTTCCAGTCCCTTGGGTTTTTTCTGGCCAGAATTGGGCAGCTTTACCTGCGGAAGCAGCGTTTGTATCTGGAAATGAGCAACTCTGTTCCCAGTTGTTCACTTTGAAAACAGCTTTCTTGCTAACGTGTTGTACCCTAGCGGTGGGGTTTGTAGCTGGCCATTCTACATAGAAACCCTTGCAGTCAGGGCCTGGCTGGACAGCACAGGCTGTTGGCTGTGTAGGGAGCAGGGACTCCAGCAGAGAGTGGCTGACCCTGCATCCCGCTGGCCCACACCAGCTGGCTCCCAGCAGACAGGCCTCTTTTGAACGCCCCGTGATGTGTGTTAAAGTCATGTAACAATAGCACCTGCTGCAGGCCAGCGACTTAGTTGTCCTGTAAGGGGGCCTGCCTGGAACGTGCAACCTGGAAAGTAAGCACGTGTTTCTCTAACTTCAGTTCACAACTTTCATATCCCTGAGGGGTTTCTTGCATGTGTGTGTGTGTGTGTGTGTGTGTGAGAGGGTGTCTGTGTCCGGACATGTAAACATGTTGTTTTCTGATGACTGCCATGCCAGAAGGTGTCCTGAAGGGTTTTCTACATGTGTGTGTGAGCGTGTATACATGTGTGTGTGTGTCCTTGTCCAGACATGTAAACATCTTGTTTTCTGATGATTGATTCCCAAGCCAGCAGTTGTCCTGAAGGATTTTCTGTGTGTGTATGCGTGTGAGCATGTCCGGGTCTGTGAGGAGGTCTCGTATCTGCGTGAGTAGACCCTGTGGGACGTCTGCCCCCGTGTGTCCACAGGC